CTGGAAATATGTGCAACGGTAGAGCACTGGTATGTCTGGGAATTGGTATCCTTATTGCACAAACATTTATTAAATAAATACTATTTATATAAAGTTATGAAACTTAATTTAATATTCAATGATTAGGGTTCTTACATGTTGCAAATTAATGTAACATTGTTTTTGTAAGACTCCCATGAAAACTCGTAAAAGTCGTTCACAGTAAACGTAACGCTTAAAGCAGTGTGGGTTTAATCTGGTAAATTGAATTAGTTTTAATCAATATAAATTGTATTTTTAACTATATTGAACTAATTTTATTAAAACAATTATAATCAACAAGAGTAAATAATGTTTTAGGAAAAAAGTAAATAAAATAACAAAAAAGAAACACATGTACCTGCCAGGTTTCGAACCTGGGACCTTCTGTGTGTTAGACAGATGTGATAACCACTACACCACAGGTACCGTACATGTTGTAGGCTGTGTATATCAGGCTATTTAAACACTATATCCGTATCATTAATGCTAGTAAATCCAAATTGAATTAATTGAAACACGTTTTATATTTGAAAGTTTGTAATGATTTTTATTAATCTTTTTCCATAATATTGAGTATTAACTCTAACATCAAATCTAATGCATGTCTCCCAATGTGTTTGTGTTTAATATATGACTTCTTACTATATTTCTAAAACTTTAAAACTTTTGTTTTATAATGTATAAATGTTTTGTATTTGTAGTGTAGTGTTTGGTTATAATTTATATTACATTTACTTTTTGTGTTTTTGTTAAATTATGTCAGTGTTGTTTTATGTAATGTATATTTATAGTGTACTACAGTTTACTCTCACATTAATGTACATGTGCTATTAGGCAATCATCACTTTTGTTCACTATATAATAGTATTTAGTAATTGTTTTCTGCACTATTCACTAGACATATGAAGAATTTGCTGAATATATTCCGTGAATATATTGAGTAAAATCTCAGTTCAATCCTATAGAGTGTATGGTCTCCCTATAGAAACTTATAGAGAGTGCACACTATTATTGGTAAGGGTATAATAAATAGTTATCTATTGCGTACACGCTATGCAAACATATTATCCGGGTCAATAGTGTTTGGAAACAAGAATCACAAAATATTGTACACTACTGTATAAGCAAATGTGAGTTAAACTATCGTGTGTTATGTGAATTTCGTTATGTTTTTCAGTTGTATTTATAGTATATTTAACTTAATTATGTATAAAATTCTCATAAATTGCTAATCAATGACGGGGTTCAACCCATGGAGGGACTGCCGCCCACAGCGCTGTTAGTGTTTTGATTAATCCAATCGATATATTTGGATACTTTGGTGAACACATCGGGATAGCCGTGAACTGCACAGGGAATGGAGAACGAAACGATCCCTATTTGGGTGGCCTTATTGCCCGTCGTCTGGACTAGTGGTCCGCCGGAATCGCCCTTAAATTCAATCAACATTTCATTAGTTGTTAAATCAAACACAACTGTCCGCTATTAGCATAACTACAGCTATTGTTTGCATTATTATTCTTAATCTTACTTTCAATAATAGTTATATTAAGCAAAAATGTTAAGAATATTCTATGACTACAGTATTAAATGTACGAGATAAATTTGAGTGCTCGGCCTCGAGCGCCGTTATGTCCGATACGGTGGTGAACACGTGCGCCGAGTGCACGGCCGCCCTCTCCAGGCAGTAGCGGTGGTAGATCTGGCGCTCGCCGGCCTCCCTGTCCAAGTGGAACTGATGGAGGTTGTTGTAGAAGTCAATGTTGGAGGCGCACAGGTAGCGGCCCAGTAGTGTGGCGTGCGTTGTGAATACGGTGGCGATGTCCAGGTGCCGGATGCGGCACAGTATGAGTCCCACGCCCGACATCCACTCGTGAAAGTGGGCCAACATGTTGGGCGCCGACCCCCTGTCCAGCGCCACCTGTTTGTAGAACTCCTCGAGAATCCAGGCGACACAGTAGCCCAATATGATGGCGTCGTTCGTCTCCCTGTCCTGAAAGGGAACGCCTATATTGCAGAGGTTCCAGAAGTCGTGTTTCCATTCGTCCAGTTTCCAGGCGGCCGACCCGTAGTCCACGAGCAGCACCTGTGGGTAGCCGTCAATCAGCCAATGGCCGTACACCACGCGAACGCCCGACTCTTTTAGCGTGTTTATGACGTTCCGCATGACTGGGCTATTAGGCGTCTGGACTTCCACTTCCGTGAGGGCAGTGCTCTCGTTGTAGGGCCCGATCAGGCAGTACTGGTCGCCCATCTCTTCGCGACTGATCTGAGCCTTGGATCGGATAACGGTATGAATGCCTCCGACTTTGTTCAGCACTTCGGTCGCCACCTCAAAGTACCACCGGTTCTCCTCCTCAGCCTTCCGTCCATTGTCTAAGTACTCGGAGTTCAACACATTGTCTAATCTATAGAATCGTTTAGACATCTGAGAGGAACGCATGTTTTAGGGCACAAGTAGCTCTTTATAGTAATTATATGGCGTTTAGATAATTATAAATTTAACGTAAAATAATATTATATTTAAATATAAGATTAAAATTATGAATCTGTTAAACACTTTTTAAAATATTTTTTCTATACTGAGAGATGACTACTAAATGATATCTGAATTATAAGAAAATTACTATAAATGAAGAGTGTTTTAAAAATTCAAAACTAGTAAATGTTAAGTCCAGCTAATTCTAGCAATCATGTCAAAAATTATAACAAATAATCCCAAACACGTGTATTAAATTGAATTTTAATAATATTTAGTCAACCCTATAATTGTCTCTATAGTCCTAAAGTGTATTAACATTTTAAAGGTAAAACTTTAATTATTAAATGATATCTAAATTACATGTTTTTTTCAATCTGAAATAGTGTATTAGTTGAGAATTATTTTCCACTGCAAAATTTCCAGTCAATCCTTTTATCAAAATAACCTTTGTAGAAGTTATATAAAGTTTATTTTAATTCTATGCATCTATTGGTATATGATCGGTTTACTAATTTAATTTAAAGTAGTTTTTTATTAGACAAAATTAACAACAAACAAAATAAATGTGTTTAAACATTTAATTTTATTCAACAAATTACATCATAGTCTAATTTTCTAGAGATATTAATAATTTAATCAAAAAGTTATAGAATAGTAATATTTAGAGCATTATTCGAGTTCACAGTATTTGAGGTTCACTACAACTACACGAATATTCAGTATTTGCAAACATCATTCAATTCATGAGTTGTCAGAATTTCAACATTAAATGAGTTAATATTCAATGAATGCTTAAAATTCATAGCAAAGTGTTGGGCATTCACTTTGAAATGTGTCTACACTTATTAATATTGTAGTTAGTGTCATAAAATTAAAATTTTTAGTAATTATGTCAAATGTCATAAATAGGTGTAAATAATTGATTATTTCGGTTAAACTAGAACATATTCTCGTTAATATAGTCTAGATAAAATAATTCATTTAAATTTAATAATCAATTCTTGAGAAACAGAATTATAAAATTATAAATTGTATGCAAATATTTTTCACAAACAGTTTATTTAGATTTTATTTAATTATAACCCTAATGCTGTTAATTCATAAAATTTTATAAAATATTTACACAATAATTTCTATCATTTTTACTATTATTAATAATTTATTATATTGCATTTGTTAATTAAGTTACTATTTTAATTAATTGTTTTGGCAATCAATCACATGTTTTTTAGTATTGAAATGTTTGTTTATAATGTTTATTTTTCGCGACAAAACTTTTGCTTTTTATTTGTATGTCTGTCATGTGAGTTATGAATGAAACGATTAATACCTGTATTGTATAATTAACTCATAATCCCATATAAACAACACATATACACCTGCATACAATACGTATCTGTATGTGGTATATAGTGTACAAAAGATTAACAAACATAGGCATTCCCTATTAGATTCTTAGCTTTAAGAATATTCTGTGTATTTGTTAAGATTTCTGAAGTGTAGTAACTATAAGCGAAATATACTGTATTATAGCATAATAAAGATATCAATAAAACAATTTCGATACCAATAGTTAAATATTATTTTTAAAATCAAACAAAACACACAAAAAATCGTCAAAACAATAGTATAGAAAGAATTTGTCACACATTTAGCACTGTTTGTGTGTATACTATATGAAGACATCATAAATGATAAATACATTGTAAAAACTCTCACATGATTTTTAATAATGACACAAATTTTTTCTATTTAAGTAATTAATAATTCAATTGTGTTTGTATACAATTTTTTTGGTGAACTAATTACACAATTAATCCTTTTCGTAGACGCACTTAATAACAGTTGTGATTATTATTACTCATCACAGGATATATTACATACGAATATCATTTGCTTAGCATTGATTTGGTTTTTATATGCATTATGTATCGGAAATTTGTATGTCATTTAATGGGACGGATAGATAGGTAGATATAGTGATCGTGTAGTATAATGTAGTGAGAGTGTGGCCTTAATTTGATTTTTGCTATAAATATATGTTTCCACTCAACGAAACACTTTCAATTTATTTATTAGTTAATCTGTAAATCAGGTGAAATACAACAACAAAAAGTTTTTCATTTGTGACTAAAATATATGGAATCAATCGATTGGTGTCTTAAGAAATTTTGTTGTTTTAAAACCATTATTAATAGCTGTTGTTGTTGTCTAACTTGTCATCTCGAGTAACAAACTTTATTTCTAATCATGGATACGAAATACTTAAAGTTTTTACTCTTTTTGGTATCATTAATAAAAATCTCATGTAATTATCAAACTCTTCATTTCAATATAAAACTTTTCAAACTTTTCTACTAATGATAACTAATTATTAATTAAATAAAACTACTTATTATCAGTTGGTCTTGAATGCGGACAATTCACACACGCCTTTACCGAGCGTATAGTCGGGGGTATTCACGCAAACTTAGGTGAGTTCCCCTGGCAGGTCAGTATGCAGAGGCAGGCCGGCAGTAGAGCACCGGGACGTCAGTGGATGCCCGGACCGGCCGCGTGGCCATCGCCCGGCCACTGGACGCAACCGGGCGCTGGTATTAACCAATGGCAGCAACCGGTGCACCACACGATTGGTGTGAGACCGACACCGCCTGGTGGTTGGCCCGTACCTCCCAGTAGACCAGTTCCCTACCCGCCCGGACATAATCCCGGACATCCCGTAACCGCACCGCCAGTTAAACCCGTACAACAACCACCACAACCGGCACCCGCCCCACAGCCTCAACCACCACCGCCTGTGGCACAGCCACCACCACCACCCACTCCCTCACCAACTTTCCCGCCACCGCCAGCACAGCCGCAACCACCGCAACCTCAACCGCCGGCGCCCCAACTACCACAGCCACAGCCTCAACCCCAACCCCAACCCCGACCTCCGCCACCTCCGCCTCAATCACCGGCAGCACAACCGGCCGGTCGGTGGCAACACTTCTGCGGCGGTTCTGTCATCAGCGAGAACTGGATCTTAACGGCAGCTCATTGTGTGGAAAAGTATGTCAAACCATGTCTTCACTCATTAATTAGCATTTCATTCACACATTATTTGCTTAGAAAACTAAATATAACTTAAATTTCTACACAATTATTAACTAAAAACTGAATTTTAAACCAAAACCTTATTTTTAATTAGAAATTCACTTAAAATTAATAATTATTTACTTCTAAACTATTTTTAATTACAATAATTTATTTCATAGTATGAAATACACGTACACTCCGGGCTCTGTGCGTATTGTGTTGGGGACAGTGGACTGGCGCAACACCAACACCGGTAGCCCACAGATGATCACCATTTCCCGTATTGTCGTACACGACGGCTGGAACCGGAATACCGGTCAGAACGACATCGCGCTGCTACAGACGAGTTCGCCCATACAGTTCCAGACGGCACCCGACGGCACCATTTTGGCCAACAAAGTGTGTCTGTCCAACAATGCCAACACTGAGTATACGGGGAACGCCATCTCCTCGGGCTGGGGTTACCTCAATAAGAACTCTCGGGTATCGCCCGACCTCTTGAGGAAAGTGGAGATCCCGGTCGTTGACCACAACACCTGTCGAAACGCATTCAGTCGTGTCATAGGAGTCACACAGAATCAAGTCTGTGCCGGACAGGCGCCTAAAGGCAATTGCATGGTATGTCCACTTTTTATAATGGAAAACCCTATTTAAAAATATACAAATTTATCTCGTACATTTAATACTGTAGTCATAGAATATTCTTAACATTTTTGCTTAATATAACTATTATTGAAAGTAAGATTAAGAATAATAATGCAAACAATAGCTGTAGTTATGCTAATAGC